CATGCAGCTGCATCTCCGCTTCGCTCTGCACTGAGTCTACCTGCGGTCACCTACATGCAGCTGCACCTCCTCTTCGCTCTGCACTGTTATACACATCTAGATGTGTATAAGAGACAGATGTATATGTGAGCCATAACGGACTAGTGCCTTTTCTTTCGATCATTTGGCAGAGGTTTTCTGCTATGTGTTTACTACCCTCTCTGTTTGCACGATTTTTGTTTCTTTGTTTGTTTGGATGTTTGTGTTCTCCAGATGAAGGGGCAAATGATCGTTCTGATGACAAGAAGTACAGATCAGGAACGTCCATAACTGTGACCGGTCCTATAATCGAGCCTTATCAAACATATACTGTCTCAGGTATTGTGTGAGGGGTGGATTGCTGTGCGGAGCTTGTTTGCCTGAGCTGTCTTGAGTTCTCAGTGCCTCTACCCTCACTGTCATTTCTTGCCAGCAGAGTTAAATTTCATATAGACACTGAAAGGGCCACGCCCCACAGATGCTGTGTTCTGCCGATATAAGAGGTCACAAACCTAACCATCATTAAGCCCATGTGCATGATTTCCTGGCATGAGCACAGCACCAGTGGGGCCTGTCCCTAACTATGCGTAAGAAATACTAAGAATATGGCTGCTGTTTTTTTTTTTTTTTTTTTAACGGGGAAATGGCGAGAAGGCTATATTGTTGGGCCCAACATCTTGTGGATCATCCAGACGCATCTGGCTGGTCAGATGTGTCCCGGAAAACCTGCCCAGATTTCCTAATAGGTTGTCAGAAGCCTGCGGGGACATCTTTTCAGCAAGGGAAGGGACATTTTCTTTTTCACCTAGGACCACTGTCGTGACGTTGTGCATGTGAAAGGGAGACCCAGTACGAGCTGCTTTCCAGAAACCATAACAGGGCTCTGGGGGGGGGTATGAGGGGGGTATAAAGGGGTTTTACCGAAATTTCCACTTTGCCTTTTTTTGTTTTTGTTTAAATTGTATAGAATCTGAGTTCACCATCATCTGAAC